CCCTGCTTGCCCCCCTCCCCCTGCCCTCATGTTCTGATACAATCAAACATCTCCTTACAGAAGCCTCCCTTCAAAACTGCTGCTGTTACCTCTTTATTTTGACCATGTTTTTTTGATCTTACAGCCACCTGTAGACAAACCAACATTGACAGGCCCAAAGCGACCAAGAGGACGACCTAAGAAAAATCCGGACCCTGTAAGTTTATTATTTAATTTTTATTTCAAACTTTATTAAAATGTAATGAAAACATCATTGACTTTGGTCATAAATACCAAAGAAGTTGAGCATAGTTTTTTTTCCTTTAGGTTCCCCCTGAAGAAGAGAAAGCTGAATAAAAATTAACAAAAACATCCTTCAGTCAACTCAGAAGTGTGAGAAACTTCTTACACATACTGTAGTCCATTCACATTTAGTTAAATTTAGTTCAAAATGAACATTTTTTTTCTTTACAAGAATTTAGTATCATAGTTTCATAGCGGTAGAGTTGTGTAGTCTGACATTCCCACGGAAACTGGATAATTCCCATTATTGATATTACCTTATGTGGGTTGGTACCAAAGGGAAATGTAAAAGGCTGGGGGTTGCTGCTCAAGGTGACTCTCTTAGGCGTAAAAAAAAATACTTGTGGTTCTGGTTCCCGACCGACCCTATTTTTTTCTGCCGACCCTATTATTTTTTCAACGCGATTGAGCGTGCGACCCTATTTTCTCCAGGTGGTTGCGGGCTGCTCATACCGCGTGCCAAAATGGCGTCTGTTGTCACACTAATTATTGAACCAAATTGCCTAAATTCGTCCATAGGAAATACGCATCTCTAGTTAATATTGATGTCGGGACAATACTGCAAATCGCCCAGCAAAAAAACAGCCAAAACCATGAAAAAAATATTCAAAAAAGAATTTATTTCCGACCTACCGACCCTAATTTTTTCACGATATGAAACCGGAACCACAGGTATTTTTTTTTTACGCCTTATGAAATGGCAAAGAATCATAAATATATATTTTGTCCTTTGGTATTAATACCTCTTTAATACACAATGCTTTTGGTATAAATACTTGATGATAATTAGTCATCATCTGCTAAATTAATTCAGTACTGTTTTATGTTTGCCTTTGGTACTAATCCCTGGTTTTAAACAGTTAACAGTTCTTTAAAAAACGTTTGCATGTATAGCATTAAAAAGTATAAATATATTGTTATGTTTTAAATATTAAGCCCTTTAGCATTGTAGAAAATGTAGATATATTGCATCACTATATTGTATGAGAAAAACAAAAAGAAAAGGGCATACTTTTGCTTGTGTCAGTCATTAATTTTCATTTACAGTCAGGGTTGCCAGAAGAACTGGGGGCAGTCTAGAGGAAATCCCATAGGCATATTGTAGGAGACAAGGCAGGTGTCAAGGTGTGGTGCAATAGGTGCAACCTCCCCCCCCCCCAAAAAAAAAACCCAAAACCACCCCTGTTAGAAAACCCTGGAAATTTGGGCAAATGCTGGGGAAAATCGTAATAAATTCAGGTTATTTTATTACAATCCTACATAAAAATTTGGGCGAACCTTCAACGAGACAGCACTTCTCTTCGCGACAGTAACTTCTAGTTCTGGTCCAAATTTCAATCGTCTAAAATATGTCTTCTTACTCTTCGTGTTGTTTTCGGAAAGCGCCGTATTCCGCTTTTGAACGATGATATTTAATTAGCAGAGCGCTATAAAAGAACAATGCCTGGAGCACGCGTTCCCTCTTTCTGTCTGTAAAGATGTCGTGGCATTTTATAGTCGGAGTTCTGTCTTTGTTTTTATCGTTTTCAGTCCTTATTTCAGGTAATTATTATGTAGCAACTCTTTGTAATTTTTCTTGAACGTATTTTACATGGAACTGTTTGATAATTTGGGTAGTTTTCATGCGAGAAATGATAGAAATCTATGATGATAGAAATGTAACTTAGAACGAGACCATTTTGTATAAAAGACTATACGAACACCGATAAATTAGCGCTGTATAGCATTGCCTTGTCCTTTAATACATTTAGTTATATTTATCCAGGACAGCGTTAATAAATGAAGTGGTCTTTTATAAATACTGGGACTACTGTATGGATTTTTTGAGGAGCAAATAGTCCATAAATATTGTATACTGTACTCCATATTTTCGTGGAACTTAGGGGGGAGGGGGCGAGTTGGATGTTGATATAATATCCTTATGTTTTGCACACAAATGTACGTCATGGTCAGTGTCAAAAGATATATGTTCATGTGCAAAACGTAAGGATGCCACTTCGATATTTGGATCAATGGAAGCTCCAAAAAAGAAATTTTTTCAGCCTCCATATATGATCTCCAGATTGGAAATTTTATAGCACACAGGTGGTAAATCCCAGGGGCTGGTTGTATAAAACTCTTAATAACTTTTTTAATGACTATTTTGTAGTTAAATAGTGATTAACTCTCAAATGTGCGCTTCTTATTGGATGACGTTTCCACTAACTATAGTTAACTTTAATCACTTTTTTATACAACGGGCCCCAGCACATTTTTCAAACATTTTCAGCTGCACTTTATAATCGATTCGCTTACCAGCATGTTGGTAATAGAAATATCAGTGAGATTATACCCCTAAAGCCCAGGGAAAAGCAGAATTGTCCTTGCAAAATGGGAGTCAAAATTTGTTATTACTTGTGCATCTTGCAAACTTTCTGATATGATCTTGTGATGTTAATTTTATTGTCTCACAATCATTAGCTTTGACGATTGTCACTTTTGTCTAATGATGACCAACATATATAATCTGTCAATCCAATGATTAAGGATGATTAGACAAATATGTTTATATTTGCTGAAGACAAAAGCTAGTGAGTACCAATTTACACTGGAGATGAATAATCTGGATAGCATGTTTTGTATTTTTGCTAAGATGTGTAATCACAGCATAACCTCGTGTCAATCATTTTGATTCTAGCTGAGCCATGTATTGATGCTCAGGCAACATCGAAGGTTTACTCGACAGCAAATGTACTACTAGCAACAGAGTCAGTTTTCCTTGTTGAATCGGCTGTGAAATGTAGCAATAACCCTAAGGTAACCAATAAACTATGTTAGCAAGTACATGAGAGCCAAGCTGTTCTACCCATAAAGTTGCATTGTGCCCTAATGTGTCCTACTTTGTTATTTTACTCTGTCTAACGACAGACAGTTTTACTCGTCAAGGGGCACTCGCAAGTGACACTTAATCTTACCAACTTATATCCTTCAATGATGAATTTTGTATCTTGTGAAAATTACAATGATCAGTTACCTCTAAGAAGTTCTGAGAAGGATTAATATATAAATTGGAATGGTCTGTACTAGCGTAGGTTGTGACAAAAACACTTGTTGAACTAACTTCTCGACGAAGGGCCTTTGCTCAAAACATCAAAGTTTTAATTGTATTTTTTCAGGTTATTTAAGAATTTCTTTACTACTTGCAATCACATATTCACAATTTGTATCTTTAAGTATCAATAAAATAATACATTACATAAAATACATTTTTAGAATCTTTTCCTATATGCTGAAATTGATGGCAATTTATATCCTGTACCAAAATCCGCAGACAATTCTGTCCATCAGGTATATGTTGATCTATAAATTGGTAATAAATATTTTAATACCTTTGTCTAATGATGACCGACATATAATCTGTCAATCCAATGATTAAGGATGATTCGACAACTATGTTCACATTCACTGAAGACAAGACTAATTCCCAGTGGCCATTACCAAATGCAACGATTAGCAAAGAAAGAGAGTAGAAACCAAAATCAAAGTGATTTTTTTATATTCTTAGTTCAGTTGGGTGAAGCCACACAAGAAAGCAAAATCTGGAGCGTACGTAATAAATTATTATGACGAGGAAGGTTATGCTGCTCTAAGGAAGGTGAGCGAAAGTTTTCCATTTTACAATTTTTTTCAACTGTGGAGCAGTGATGTGTGGTAGTATATATTTTGTTTGATATTTTAGGCACAACGTAGTGAAGAAAAGTCTGAACAAAAGCCTTTGTTCACAGTAACTTTGAACCACAAGGTACAAAATTAGTTTGACTTTAAATGCATGTCAAAACCTAGCTTCGGATTGATAGGGCTGCAACTACCTGAAAATTACCCTTGTATTTTTCAGGCAGTTACCAGAACTTCAACGTTTCGACCTTTGCTTGAAATGTTGAAGTTATCCTTGTATTCAGGTAGTTGCATCCCTATCAAACCATCCGAAGCTTTCTTATTATTGCCATTACCTACACTGGCACAGACTGTTCAAGATTATGTCAAAACCTAGCCGAGTTTTGTGATGCAAATTTTAAAAAGTGGGAAATAGAGGCATAGAATAAAGATCCATATAGAAGGGCCACTTACGTTGGAAGCTTTGAAGTTTCTGTCCTCGCGCATGTCTCATTACGCATGTTGGCCGCTATTTTCCTAGTCAGTCAATGACATTTTCTGACCAATAAACATGCTGTACTGGCTGGCTGCTCTGCCTTCTGGCCAGTAAACTGCATATTTTTGCATAGAAAAAACACGGACACATTGCACCGCTGAGTGGCCCTTCTGTTACTGATCTTTATTCTGTGATAGAGGCAAAGCAATTTTGACAAGAGTTTTGGTTGGTATAAAGAATAATGAAATAAAGTAAACTTCTGTATGATTGTCTAGGCTGCCGGACGTGAAGGACTCTGGGTACAAACTGAATTCATTGCCGTCACAGCGGCTTTGTTAGTCTGGTGGTTTGCAACAGTAACGAAAAATAAAATGCAGGAGTAATGTATAAAGAACTGGAGTAGAATGAATTGTTATATGTTTAAATTTTTACACTGTAATAAAATGTCCGATTGTGTGCCATGTCTTAATTTGTCTGCAATTTTGTCTGCAAATTGATACAACTTTAAAATGTTTATATGACTGCCATAGTTTTGTAGTGAGATTCATGTTTTTGTCCGGCAGGGATACTGTTTAGAATTAGAGAGTCATTCACATATTTCTAGTATTTACAAATTGCAATTTGAAGGAAACCTAATGTGCACGGACTTGCCACAAGCCCAACTTTTACCGTAACAGCTGTAAAAGTGGCACCGTTTGAAAATGACTTTGCAAAAGTCTAGAATGGGCCCAACAACATTGACAGTCCTCTTTCCTTGAATTAAAAACCATGGTCTAGCTAGGACACAATGTTAGAAACAGACCTAATTTTAACAAATAGCTTGCCTCTTTCTGTGCATGGTCAATGCTCATTACCTGTACCTTTGAGTAACTGCAATCTCACTGTGTATTAAACAATGAGCAAATATTAAAATGGTGTCAAAATTGGCCTGAAGTTGTATATCTGACTTGAGGTTTCATACTGCACCAACATTGCCAAAAATACGAACAGAACATGATCGTCTTATAAAATTCTTTATATTATTTACGTTGTAATATTCAAAAGCAATAAAAATCCAATTTTATTATTATGTTCTTAAGTAAATACAAATAGTTAAAGCTAATGTTACATTCACTAATAATTTATTGCACTAAATATATTCTTAAATAATTGTCTATTCATTACCTATATGCATCTTGGCCTGTTTTATACTTTGAATCTTGGTCGCATCAAGTGCAATTAAGACAATAGATAATGAGATGATGAACTTCATTATCTATTGTTTGAATTGCAATCGACGCAACCGAAATTCAACATAGAAAACAAGCCATAGTACGGCTGCAGAGAGATGGTATGTGGTCCGAGGCAAAATTTGCCCAGGGTACCCCTGACATAATAAACAATAGGAAAATTACAACAAATGGCCAGTTTAAAAATGCCTCTCCTTCTGGCCCTTCATCTGCCCCCTCTCTGCAGCCCCATTGTATAACATGTACATTGTCCTTTTGGTTAATTTTCAAGGAACTTATTAATATGTGCATTCATTCTGCATAGCATTAATGTAAGTGATATTGTCTGCTCATTCAAGTTTAATATCAATGTTTGTTCGATAAAAATATTTTATACAATTCAATAATTTGTGACTGATGAATAATTTGGATTTGAAGTACTCGTTGTTAAGTGTTCATCAGCTCCTGATCTGAAAGAGACAGAAATGTTAAGTTATAAGAGAGAAGTGCCCAACATATTGCGTGCTATAAAAACGAGTGGATAGGGATGTGTCTGACACAGTTTAATTTCATAGAATTCCTCATTTCATAGAATTCCTCAGTTCATAAGGACCTTCACACAGGGTAAGGATGGATCAAGCCTTGGGCTGGTAGATGCAGGGGAATTTGCTAGTTGTGGGACAATTGAAAAATAGAATGCCTAAATGGTGAGAGAGGCTCCTGAACACCCCCCCAAATACATGTAAATTACCTCGATGTGTCTTTTGAAATATCAATTACTACTTCTGATGGTCCTGGGTGATAAATATTTTTGGCAACACCTAGTATAATAAAATAATATGTTAAGTTCCCATTGAGCCCAAATGCACCCTACTTTATTATTTTACTCCATCTAACACCAGATGATTTTAAATTCCATAGTACAATCTTTACTATAGAATTACATAAGAATTACCAGAAAAGTCAATTTCATCTTGTTGATCCTGGTATTCATTCAGTAAATGGTCATCACCAAATCGACTACAAAACAAAACAACTTTCTAATAATACATCTGTATTTAACCCTATAAGTGGCAATGTGCCCTGAGGCACCCTGCTTTGTTGTTTTACCCTGTCTAAAGGCGGATTTCCAGTCCTCGCACGAAGCAGCTCGCTGCGAGTGATGCATGAACACTTTCATCCAATCACAATGCTATTAAACAGTTAATTTTAATTAGATGCAAGCACTCACAGCGATCTTCTTTGTCAAATGGTTTGTCATAAAAATGCTGTCTCAATGTTCCTAGCCAGTGCGGTTATGAGAGGCATGCACCCCCTGAACGTTTGCCATTTTGAATGTTTTCAGGGGGGTGAATACCTCATATTAAGCACACTGGCTAGGAACATGGCGACAACATTGCAACGGTCAGGCGAAAATCATAGGCGAAACCAAAAAGTCGATCGCCAGGTGTGCCAATGTATTATTTGTCTCAATTACAAAATCAGACAAATATTATTTTAATACCTGCTTGATTACATCATCACACATGACGTCATAATGTACAATAAAAGTACGAAAATAATTTTATATATAACAATTGTACAGACTTCATGTACAAATAAGACAGTAGAAAAACTACAACAAATTAGTAACAACCGACAATAACACGCTAACACTATATCTTGCCCAAAAGCTAATTATTTAATTCAATTTTAATTGCCTAAAAAGACGTACCTTGAACTCGGTTTAGGTGCATAATTCGTAAATCGATCGAAACCCCGATTTTTTCTAAGTGCCCAACGAGGACACAGACCTGAGCAATCCGTCCCAAAACATTGTCCCATTCTACACGAAAACTATTTAAAAATCATTAGAAAAACCCCGGAAAACTAAAATTAATTTTTAACAAAATTAAAATGATTTTATTTGATGCACTTCACTTGTTCCGCATATTAATGAATGCCATCAGTCAGAAGTCGAATTTCCGTGATTGAATTTCCGGTTTGACAAACTTGTTCAAATTTTAACAGAAAATGTATTCTCTGTTAAACTGTTATTTACTATTTAATGCCTACTTATTTTTTGAACAATGATTTAAGAAATTAGTATAAAAGCATAGTCAAAACGGAGAAATTAATAAAAGACAATATTCTTCCACAATATTGGATTTCGTCTTTTGAATGATGGTTTTGTTTGAGAGTGTTTTTGGCACTGAGCTTTATGTAAAACTGTAGTCACTGTTTCAATATGGCGGTCTTGTGTAATGTTTGTAAAATTATTAGATTGTTATCTGTGGGTGAAAGAGAGTTCAACCGTGTTTGTAAGTAATATTAAATTATATTTTACTGACGAAAGTTTGGTTAAGATTACTTGTGCATAATAATTTATAATTATGTTCTAAACTTGGCCTGTATCAATAGTACTAGTACAGGCATTCAAATTCAAATTTCAATCGATCAGATACAGAGGTCCAACTCAGCCAAAGTCCAGTCCCCCCCCCTGAACAGCCAAGGTGGCCATTTTGAATGTTTTCAAGGAGTGACTGCCTCTTGTTAGTGCACTGTGTAGGAACATGGCAACAGCATTGCAATGGACCATTTGCATTATAGACTAAATTTTGATCTTGACAAAAAATTTTATCACAGCTTGAAAGAGCATCACTAAATTAGTAATATTCCAAAGTTTCGTTGCGAGATGTTGTAAAATGCGGATAATATAGCCATGCGAAGTTTGCAGTTTTTCAGTCATTTTGTATTACGCACAGGAAATCGACAGCCCAATCGGGTGTTGGGGCATCAATTTCCCGTTTGTAATACAAAATGACTGAAAATTGAAAATTTCGCAAGGCTATATTATCCGCATTTTACAACATTTCGCAACGAAACTTTGGAGTATTACTAATTTTGTGATGCTCTTTCAAGCTGTGATGAAATTTTTGTCAAGATCAAAATTTAGTCTATAATGCAAATGGTCCATTGTGAATCATGGTGTGACATTGGTTATGCTATAACGCCAAAAGTGCAAGCAATATTAAAGTCTGACTTCAACCTCGAACCCAGGTTTTCAAGCCTGGGTTTGAGGTTGGTCTGACTTCTGTATGTGTTTATTCTGTGCCCTGGCTTTCAGTTCTATATTTTGATGTTACATATGATCATGTGAATTCCAGATTAGAAGACTAGTACACAAACTAGTAAACCATCCAAGCTTTGAACACTGTTTCTGTAAATTTGAAATTTGGTTGCTCCAGAAAAGATCCACACTACACCCGCAGGAAATTTCTGCTGTCCAAAGGGAGAAGGGAGGAAAATTTGATTTTGATAAGATTTGTAAGTGTATTAAGACATCTGAAGAGGGGGGGGTAGGAGGGTTAACTTCCAGTTTCTTCCGTGGGGGAAGTATGTATGTTCTCTGAAATGACCCAATTTGAAATTATGATATCTTACTGGACTTGAAATTTTTTTTGCCACAGCCCCTTGCGAATCTCTCAAAGTGGCAAAATCACAAGCTATAAATAATATATATAAAATCAAAAACAGTGGCAAAATCTGAAGCTATAATATATATAAAATCCAAAACTGTAGTTGGCATCAGGCTCATTTCAACATGTAACACTGCCTCAAAAAGTCGTCCAAGCACAGTTGGCGTCCCTGCCTGGGCAAAAGCAGCCAATAAGAGACAAGCACAGGTTTTACTTCTGGAGAAAAAGAAAACACCGACACAAATGCAGGCCGAAGTACGTCTTGCGGATGTGAAATCCAATAAATCTGATTTTCTAACAACAAGTCGGGTTGGTGTTCATAAACCTAAAGAGAAGACAACAGATCAAGCAAATAGGTTGGTAACGAGTTTAAATTTTAAAATATTTTTAGTTGCCCAAGTGGCCTTGAAATACTGACATAATTGTATTTCCATTTCTAAGAATGACATTATCCACCAGTGGGGAAATGTTTGTGTTCTACCATGCAAAGCAAGATTACCCAGTACAACATTCCAAGGTACAGTAAATGTTACCATAATTCATTAGCAGGCTGAAAAAGCAAAACAAAAATGAATAGAGTGAATATAGATTTAGATTAAAACATTCGAAACTACTCTTAAAAATATACTCAACACTATACTTAGACTATTTTACTTGTCGATGGAAAAGTGCTGACGCTCGTTTGGTTAATAAACTTCAGGGTTTTTTCAGTTAACCATTGATTAACCATCTCACCCTATTTGAATTTGGATACCATTCCAGTTCTTAACATAGTTCCTTCTTTTCATATCTTCAATTTATCAGGCTGTGAATACAATTGAAATACCACAAGAGGATTCATCATCAAATGACAACACCAATAGTTTATCTGAATCCCAGGTATAATAAGTAAAATTTTCTCCGGAATTATTTGAGGACTTCACCATTTACTTTTACTCAACTACCAGAAAAATACAAAGAGAACTTCAAACGCTGAAGATTTAAAGTTTGTTCGTTCACTGCAACCAGATATATCAATCATGTTTTCGCTTGCTACTCTGGTTTAAATAAATGATTACAAACCCAGTCGAATTGTAATCAAGACCCAACGTTTCAACACTCCAGTCTAGTGTCTTCATCAGGGGTGATCTAAAGTTGCAATCATGGCTTCTTAAATACGGGATGACGTCACCTGCCAATGAGATAGGGCTTTGTAATAATTTATTTAAACCAGAGTAGCGAGCGAAAACATGATTCAAACGCTGAAGTGTTCTCCTTGTATTTTTTGGGGTAGTTACATCCCTATCAAACGGAAGCTTTTTTATTATTGCCACTACTTATATTGACACAGACGGTTCAAGATTATTTACATTCATTGTGTTTTGGGTTGATTTAGGTTGTTGAAATCAAACTGTTGCAAAGACGTGACCCAAAGTTGTGGACCGTTGATGTATTGTCGGATATGTACAAAGTCAACCCTCTTGCTATAATGTATGTTTTAGGGAAAACTATCCAGTTTCAGTGTCTATATATGGAGAACAGTTCTGCTCAGACATCGCTTTCGCGTTCTATTTTATAAGACCATGTTACACAATCAATTTTTTCTCTAATTTGAAACGCAATTTCTGATATAGACCCATTGCGCATGACGGTGACGATGCATCTGGACAGGGCGCTTATATATAAGCGCCTTGCATCTGGAGGACAAATTAGCAATCTATGCATAATATAACTTTTGTAAACAAGGCAAATTTTGTAAAACTTTATAATAATTTTGTATTAAAATGGTTAATTTTAGCGATGTATGTGGTTGTTGTACCCGAACAGATATTGTTGGGGAGCATCTGGAGGACACTCTAAGGATTTGTGACGTCAGGGCAATGGGTCTATAGAGCCATACATATGCATATATCTTTATTTCCTACTTTACAGCAATGCTGCTCCTCTCAGTCCCGATCAACAATTGCACTTAGAAGTTGAACAAGATTTCTTAGCAACGCTTTCGGATTACGAGAAAAAGGAATATTCCTACTTTAAAAACAATGTAAGATTTCATCTTAAAGCCCGGAGGACGAGAGTGCATGAGAGTTGGCAGTCACGCGACCTTGGTTTAATGTTTTCCCAACACTATCATGCATTTTATTGAAGTTAAAACATAGTTGGAACACTCATCAAACCTTTATTTTGTTAATCTAGAGCTTGAAATGTCCTCTGTACTAATAATGCGTGACTGCCAACTCTCATCAACTCTCGTCCCACGAAGAAGATCCTGGGGACGAGGTTGCCGTCTCGTCCTCGTTTGACCGAGGCTTTACTCCTTTAGTCATATTTAATCCTATAATTACATAACCTCCTGTAGAAAGTTAAGTTTGTTTGTTTGTTTGTTTGTTTGTTTGTTTGTTTGTTTGTTTGTTTGTTTGTTTGTTTGTTTGTTTGTTTGTTTGTTTGTTTGTTTGTTTGTTTGTTTGTTTGTTTGTTTGTTTGTTTGTTTGTTTGTTTGTTTGTTTGTTTGTTTGCTTGTTTGTTTGTTTGTTTGTTTGTTTGTTTGTTTGTTTGTTTGTTTGTTTGTTTGTTTGTTTGTTTGTTTGTTTGTTTGCTTGTTTGTTTGTTTGTTTGTTTGTTTGTTTGTTTGTTTGTTTGTTTGTTTGTTTGTTTGTTTGTTTGTTTGTTTGTTTGTTTGTTTGTTTGTTTGTTTGTTTGTTTGTTTGTTTGTTTGTTTGTTTGTTTGTTTGTTTGTTTGATTGTTTATTGATTTTTTTGTGTGTATATTTCTGCATTTTTTAGGAAAGAAGAAAACAACTTCAAAAAATAGGAAAAAATAAAGTGAAATGACTGAGAGAATTGGATGAGGAGGTTGTACCTGATGGTATATGCGAGTCGACAAAAGAGAACTGATGACAGTGGTAAACCCGTTTTAATACTAGGAAAGTACTAGGGTAGTTCTCGCCGGAATAACATCGTCATCGATAAGAAAATAATCTTCGTCCAAAACTGATAAGAAAATAAGTCTTCGTCGAGGCAAAACCTTTCAAAAAAGAATTCAAACTACACTGACGAATACGTGTATGTTTCTGTCGATACTGTACGTGTCAATATATGTTATATTTCTTATTTTGTTTTATTGGCATTATAAAACGAAAACATTTGAGTTGACGAAATGTCGAGTTTCGATAAATCACCATGGCGAATGCACAATATGGACGAAGTATGCCACGGTTTATTTGACGTCCCTTTTGTTTTATTGGCATTACTAATATTATACTTATAATCATAAGTATATGTTTGTTTTGTGTGTGTTTGTCTTTAAAATTATCAAATGTATTAATACGAAAATTTGTAGGACAATGCCCAAGGACAAATTAATTAAATTTTGGTTAAATTTAGATGAATATTAGATGAGAAATTAGTAGGTTTGTGTTGCTAATGTCTTGCCTTGCTTTGCCTTAAACTGAATACGTAATTAGCTTTTCTCTGGCGGATGTATTCATTTTCAAGTGCCCTCTCGTTACTGTCAGAGAGTTGCTGTATTGTCTGTTAGATCTATTATAAGCATATGACATCGTAACTAGGTCACCAAAAACAGGATAAAAAGCTGAAACGACGCAACCCCCCCCCCCTTCCGGAAAATACTTCACCAGTCAAGTGGCCGAAGGACTCCGTGGCATAATGGTCACGTAAATTTTTTGTCAAAGAATGAAAATAGAATTTGTAGAAAAAATATTTGAATTGAATTTTTCTAAAATTAAAATTTTTCTAGAATTAAAATTTTTTTGGAATGAAAATTTTTCTAGAATGAAAAAATATTTTCTGGAAATGAGGTTAAGAATAATCCAAGATGGCGGACAGCTCATTGCTTTCAGTCAAAATATTGAATATTCCACTGGTTAAGCTTGACACGGGAAATCTGCAACATGATTTAATACATAATTGTAAACGTTCTTTCGAATGAGACAATCTATATCGTTCTAATGCCTTGTATAAAATGTAAAATTCCAGAGAAAAATATTCTGCCGTGGTGTATATAAATTGAAAAAAATATTCGATCGAGTTTCAGCAAGTGTTTATGTTACGAGCCAGCAAATCATGGTCAATGTTGACTCGTAAAGCCAAGGAGCAAGCCTTCCTTCCCAAGCTTACACACAAAAGCTTAACTGTTGGAATATTTTGACTGAAAGCAATGAGCTGTCCGCCATTTTGGATAATTCTCAACATCATTTTAACTACGCTTTTGCTTACGCCGCCTTATATAAAATTGCCTCTAATAAAGACCAAAAGTTTTTAAAATGTCTCTATTCAAATATTCAATTTGAAATAGCAACCGAAAACTGGTTTTGGACTCACATTAATATTGATCACTGGCTGTCAAAATATAACACTTGCGTGACTCTGTGCGTGACCCCACGTGTGATGTCCAAATGTTCATTAATAGGGTCAGATCTTATCTTGCTTTTCAAAGCCTAATTATAAGGCCATGCATGATACACGAGGCAATTTTGGCTGCAACTTGCAACGTGTTTCTGACATATAGAGCCATGTTATCTAAAAAGTAGGGAAATTGTGAGCATGACCCACGGTTTAATCTGCCTACATTTTTCATCCCGGCCCCAGCCATTTCTTTCATTTTTTGTCCCTTTATTGAGAGCATATTATGTCAAGAAAGTATCGGCAGAGTAAACTAAGTATCGGCAGAGTAAAGTATCGGCAAAGTCAAGAAAGTATCGACAGAGTAAAATGCGGGCCATACTCACAATCTTTCTGTGACTGCTTTTTACATAACATTGCTCTGTATCCAAAATGCGTTTTTAACACGGCCTTTGAGAGGGTTTCAAGACATTCAACTACCTGAAAAACACCAGCAAAACTGCGACGTTTCGACTTTCAAGCGAAGGCCCAATTCGTCGGGAAGTTCAACGAAGGGCCTCTCGAAACGTAGTTGAATGACGTAGTTTTCTGGTGTTTTTGCCACTACCTACAGACCGTTTGAGTTTATGACACGGCCTTTAGTCTGTACAAGAAAGTCGTTCTCCTATAGAGTAAATTGCGTGCATCGCACAGCATGTGTTGTGACACCCTCTGGTGCACTCTAAGGTCACTAGCCCAGGGTCACCGCATTAGTGCGTTGAGGCATCTGATTGGCTACCGTAATTACTTGTTACATAATTGGCCATTTCCTTTTAGGAATATGCGTCAAAGGCCATATTGTTTACCGGTCAAATTTTACTTCTTGCTTGGTATCAAGTAGCCCGAGCGTTTACTAATCCAAAGCATGTGTTGAATTATTTGCTGTTTAAAGACTTGTGTAAACTTACTTATGAAAGGTCTTTAACCCCACAAATCTAGCCAATCAAATTTTTCGAAATTTTTCAAAAACGTGCCGTGCCTCAGTGACCGGAAGTAAAATGCCCGACCAACGCGTTCAATATCCGGTTTTGCCGGGGCCGCAAATATATGAAAAAGTGACTTTATCGCCTAAAAATCAAATATCTCGCCGCATCGCTGACCCATAACAGGACATATCGGTCAATATTCTTTATTCTGTTGCAATAGAATAACGTGTAACACTTAGACATCAACATAATTGCTGTAGTAACCGAATATTCTTTGTGAAAATCTACTTCCGGTTGGAGTCAATGAAAATTTTTTCTCCGGCTGCTGGTGCCAAAATTAAACAGTGCCAAATAGAGTAGCGTCGCTTTTGGTTGAACTCTCTAGCGAAAACGTGGCGATTTTCAGCCAACATGGAAAAGGATTTATGGAATAGAAAAGGCTCTATTGCCGTCAGCTCTATTTCGGCCGGCGCCTCGCCAAAGATCGGGCAATTTCAAGGCCAAACTCCGAAACGAGTAAGTCGAATATATTTATGTTGTATATGGACTGTTTGCTAAATAATTACAGTAAATCCTAGTGTGTTTAACTGTTAAAGACAGGTATTAAGCTTTAAACACCAGTTTTTCTAAGCCCTCATCAACCTTATTTTAATGCTTAAATAAATCGAAGACCTTTTATCCCTCTCAAATTTTTGATTTTATAGTTGTAGTTTGGACTTTTCACGTTTTAATATTAAAAGCCCTATTGTATATTGTGTTTTTCGCTTGATTTCTTGTCACGTAAACTGAAGAGAAACATTTTATTTATCTTTTAGGCTTTAGCAAGGACTTATTCTCCGTTCAGAAAATCTAGAAGTCGATCCTCTTCTTTTAGCTCTTGTGATAGTACAGGTAAAACAACGTGATTATTATTATTCCAGACATTTTTATTACAGCTGAATTTTGTTGACAACAAAGTACTTAACAGCAAACGAGGCCTTTGGAAAAGAATGCCGAATTATTTTTTAGTAAATTTTAAAGACGCAAATCCTTTAAGATTTGGTAAACATTTCCATGGCTTTATATATATAAGAGCCGTTCAATATTAAAATATTGGGATTGGAAAAAAATTTTGCAACATTGCTTGGAATAAATATTAATTACTACATAGAAATGAATGAGAACTTTCTAAAAATCCATTCAACAGGGTTTGTATTGAGGCTGGGGTAGCATTGGGTCATTCCCCAAATTTACAGACAAAATTTTTTGTGGTCAAAGCCAGGGAGATTACTGTATTGCACAGGCATCGATTCTTGTATATTTGAAATATATATGGTTTCGGTGGAGATCTCAAACGTGGTTCTTGAGGCCCTGATTCCGGGTTTCTTCCAGGGGTCTCTAGGGAACAAGGCATGTTTTGCAATGCCAAAAAAAACATAGGGAACATGATGAAATCTTAATGGGAAAACAAGGGGGAAAATCTGGAAAACTTTTCATGGGAACACAGACCCTCTCTTTAGTGAATGTACACCCCCCCCCCCACACACACACACACCACACCACTGTCCCCTCCCCATTTCACACTCTTGCAAACTCTCTTGTGGAGAACGTAATCTTTTGTATAATCAGTATTTGCCAGACAGCAAAATGTAAACAAGGAGTCTGTTGTGATTTGTGACTAAAATTTCTATTACATTATTTCTGGCAACAGCAGCTGCAACACAAGTAGCAGTGTGCTTTATTTGGCACACCTGCATCTCTGTATCACATCAGTCCTTGCCTGCATTCCCTGCCAAGATCGGACACTTTGCAAAAATCCCCCCCCCCCCCGGGAATTTAGGTTGATCACATATTTCGTTTCATCTGATGTTGTAAATTTCAGGCTTTTCTTGTTTAAATAATAGATTATATATGGGGCTTGCATTTCTGAAAAAAAATTAGTTGTATAGTATTGTTATTCTTGCATAATGATTGCTGATGCCAGTACATATTTTAAACGTTTTACAGTGGGGGGCCGAAACCAAGATTAGGGTGCAGTGTGATTTCCCCAGAGTTTTTTGGTCACCCAGTCTGAGCCACGGATTAGTGGGCCCATTGGAGCAAAATCCCCCCCAGTACAGTATATATTAAAATATGCCTACTCATCAGGTTATTGTGAAATTTGAATTGCAACATCTTTATGTGGTATTATTTGAGGGTAATAATGGTATACAACTGGTCATATAAGTATAGATGGGCCTATATTTAGATCAGCTATCATTTAAAGCATTATAAACGTATTGGGGAGGGAATTGCTCCCATTCCCTGCTGACAGAGGTCACTGTAATGCCGGAGACTGTGTAAGTTATGCAGTCGAGTCTTGGAGGTCATCATTAATTTGAGAGATATTCAGGTCAATAATGTTATGATAAATCCCCTTTCCAGTTCAATAACATAAAATCACTACTTCAATATACAAAATGAATATCTATTAAAATGATATTCAAATGCTGGAACAGCGACCATTTTGGCTTAAAAATATGCAGCGGAAGTTAAAGACGAACATTGGGAACAATAGAAAACAAAAATTCGTAGTGAAAAGTACAGTCAGGCAGAACAAACTGAAAGTGAATAGATGCAAAAAAGGCAATGATAGCAGAAATTATTGTTTAAAATTACTAAAGCAAAACAATCTGTTCAAAAACTAAAACAAAGCAATAAAACTTCAAAAACAAAGAATTTACATAAAGGCCTAAGACTTTTTAAAGATGATCATGATTATTTTCAACAACCGAATAAAAAGTGGTTGTAGTGGTGAAAAAATAGGATGGGAAATTCAAAATTCTGACAGGAAAATGAACGGAAATTTTCCAAGAAAAAAACAAATTATGGTAAACAGGAAAAGTAAAATGTTTTATGTTTAGTAAAAAATTAAAACAGCTAGGGAAAACAAATGTTTTATGCAGATTAACATAACAAATGAACGATTAAGTGGGTCGAAGCATCACGGAATTCCGTGGCGCAGCGCATTGTGGATTTTGCTCGCCGGTTCAAAGGAGACAAATGGCATAATATGGCGTCCGCAGAAAATGGACCGTCCCCTTCGGAGGGACATGGCTCTGGAGATGTTTCATCCAGATCACCGGCAGCTGCTCAAAAACCACCAATGTTATCTGAACTCAAGGTTCGAACGTGCTCACATGTTTGTTATGCTTTTACTCAATGTTAATATTTTTACTTGACTGTTTCGCTAACCAAAATGTTATTGAACAGAGACTCAGCTTTTCCGAAAGTATGTCCTCGAGACGGCTGCCCCGAGCAAGAAAGCGGACAATGTCTGTCTCGTCTACGGACAGTTATAGCTCAGGTTAGGCAATTTTTACTTGTGTGGCGAGCCTTCTAGTTTTCGCAAATTGTCAAAATCAACCACAAGATGACATGACAAATGGCAACAATAGAATTTGTACTGCCGGCACTAATGACTCGTTTTGTCGAAATCAAAATAACTGTACATTATTATGTACTTGTATTAGTTCGTTTAGCTTCATATATTTCAAAAGCTTCTCCTTTCTATTGTTTTGAAGTAGTTTTACTTAGAAGCGAGTGAGTGTTCACTGTCATGTCATCTCTTGAAAATGCAAGTCAATTTCATTCTCATTATAAACAATGTCTATAGCGTTATTGCTTGTGTGTTTTAGCGAGCTATTCTGACAACAGCATTTCGTCAGACGAAGATGACGGCGTTTCACCGAGAGAGAAAGAGCAGGTAATGTTATAGACTTGGAATTTTGACAAAATATCGATACAAAAATGCGTAAAGTATGCTATATCGTAGCTCTCATTTCCGGCCGAAATATTTTTCGGCTTCAATAATATTAATACTGTCTGCATATTATTATTATGTAAAATATTAATACCCAGGAAAAATCCTGGGTATTTAAATGAACTTTTGACCTATTTTACCAGTAAATGCTTTTAGTATTAAAACGAGTTTGTTTTGTTTTATCCCAAAAGGGGAAGAAAATGTTTTGTTACATAACTACATTTACTGGTCACATCACGTATATAATATTCAATATAATTCCAAACAATGCTGGATTTGTTATATATATAATTCCAAACAATGCTGCTCATACCAGATTAGTAGTCAAATTGGGAAATATAGTATTAAATATATAGTGTTTTATATTGAATATGTCTGCATACCTAGGGGCAATGAACAAAATCAACAAATAGATTTTGTCTTGTGATCACATACTGGTCCCTCAATTCGTGTGAAGCCCTGCTGCATTGCACATCAATCAAAGTCCCTTTCTTAGAAAATTCAGTTTTTTTTAGAAAATCAGAGTTAATCTGTTATTGGAAATTTTTGCCAACCCCCAATACAGAAGTCCATCTCCATTGTTTTTTGCGTAAGCGCTATTCGTCATGATTCGTCACTCAGCAAGTACCGTAATTGCGTAAACAGAAGCAGTCACCCTCTGGAAATATTCAAAATGGCACATGTCCAGGGGGTGACTGCTTCTGTTTACGGTACTCGCTGAGTGACGAATCATGATGAATAGCGCGTACACAAAAAACAATGGAGATGGACTTCTGTATAGTATTCTGTGGTCAGGGGCACAAAAGTGACCAAATAGGTATTACAGTAAACACAATGAAATTTAAAGATCTGTGGGAGATTTGATTTTGAAAATTGTTTATATCAAGCGAGATTGCGAATTGGCTTCTGCAAAGACTAGAGTCTAGAATCTAGAAATTAAAAATTTGGCATTGATATACAGTTATACATTTGATTGGTTTATCGAAGGTTTTTATCCGGATTTTTTCCCAATCAGAATGCTTTACCAAACTCAGTATGGCCAAGGTGAAGTGCTTTCTGGAAGCTTCAAGGGCTTCCTGGAATTGCCCATAATTACTGTTTTAATTTAAGGAAATGGGTGTCATTACTGTCATAGCCAAGGGGGTCTCCTCTGAGGAAGTCATTCTTTCCCGGAAACAATGCCATTGGTGAATCATTTTAAATTCATTATGAAAAGCCTTTGTTTTCCTATTTCTATTTCAGGCTGTTTTACAACAACAAAAATTTAATCTATGTTAATATGAAACATTAGCACAGCATGCTTGTTTTCAAACTCATATCTATAGCCTGGCCATTTTTTTCTTTCAGCAAAGTTCCAGTGGATTTTCAGACTTCTGTATCAAGAATATCAGTCGAGCAGACTTTGGCCAACGTGAAATTGAAATTGCAGAACAAGGTGTGTGTTTCATTGGAGATATGGAAAACATCAAAACTCAATGTCTCTGTTGTGCAATGCAAACTTTGGGATTTCTGGGATTAATGATTCGCCTAATTGCAATCTCTCTTTCATAGAAATGCCCGGTTTGATTTTACTGAGAAAGAGAAATGCTAATGATAGACCTTTGGAAGGAGCGAAGATTGTCGGGTGCACTCATGTAACAGCACAGTCAGCGGTAAGCACTCATGCTGTGTTTACTCTATAATGCTATGGCTAGTAGTGTGTTAAAAATTTACCACGTTTGTTGGTATTATGTTTGCGCTATAATGGAGTGGTTTGCGGTAGCGTACTAACTACGGACCACTACACTTGGCACTTCGGGTGCAATTCGATACGCTATGGTAAATTGCTGTAGCATTGTGTTTACACTACAATAGATTTGCCATAGCATACCAACTACGGTCCACTACTCTTGGCAGCACTCTGGATGCAAATCAATACACCTCGGTAAATTTGCTATTGCATCATAGTGTAAACACTGCCTAAGTAACTGTAAGTTTGGAAAGGTAGCTCAATTGCCCAAACATTTACTTCAATCTAATTTTATAATCTTATAATTTATTCTGATTTTAGGTGTTGATTGAGAGTTTATGCATGCTTGGAGCCCAAGTGAGATGGTGTGCTTGCAATATTTATTCAACTCAGGTAGTGTAGGAATAGAGTCACATAACATAATCCATTTTATGGGTGCAGGTTTAGATATTTCATTAATAGTGGTTGATATACTCTTTCAACCCACATCAAGAGTACTCTTCAGTCTTGAACCATAGGAACCCTTGTGAAAATGTTGATAGTTAGGCCTAAAAAAATAGGTTTTCCATTTTCATATCATGAAAAAATTAGGGTGGGTTGGTTGGAAAAATTGGGTTTTTTTAAAAATATTTTTGTCATGGTTTTGGCCAATTATTGTAACAACAGATGCCATTTTTGCATGCTGTATGAGCAGCCTGCAACCACCCGTAGAAAATAGGGTTGCACTGCCAATCACAGCGAAAAAATAATAGGGTCCGCAGAAAAAAATAGGGTCGGTCGGGAAACCGCAACCACGGTTAGAAAATAGTATTTTGACTATTTAGTATTTTGAGTATTTTTATTTTTTAGAATGAAGTTGCTGCTGCCTTAGCTGAAAAAGGTCATTACATAATATGACTACAGTATAAACATTTACTTTGACTCATTTCTGCATGCCCCATTTTAAACTTTAAAAACAGTGCATCCAGGGATAAACACACCCCTCCCCTGCAACTCCTACCCCCTGGGAAATCTACACTCTACCACAGCCCTCCCTTGGGAAATTTTCACCCCCCCCCCCCTATGAGTTGTGCACCCTCAGCCCAGCATCAGATAAGTATAGATCTGTCTGTAACGTAGACCATATATTTTTAGGTTATCCAATATATGCTTGGAAAGCAGAAACTGAGGAAGATTTCTGGTGGTGTATTGAGAAATGTATCAATGCACCTGGGTGGAACCCTAACATGGTAAATTATCAGGGTAATACGAACCTTATACATAGATCAATCAACTGATGGTTTTGACAACAGTTCCAGGACTACCCTTGTTTCTGTACTACCCCTCCAAAACATCGCCACTAGGGGTGCACCGGATTTCAAATCTGGCCGGATTTAACGAATTTTCCGGCATCCAGCCGGATTCGGAGAAAATCCGGCCGGATTTAAATTTCTGTTTTTACCTTGAAAATTCACCAAGAATTGGATAAACCATCAATTTGGCAGCTTTAAAGTTCAAAAAACACTTGATATTATTATAAAATATTAAGTTATTAACAAAAAGATATTTAAAAAAGGTTTAAACACAATCAAAAATCTAAACTGACAGTAACTAAAAATAGTAAAAAACATAAACCGCCATTTTGAATACTGAATTATCCCAATTTATACCAATTACCGGTTTATCTCAAATCCGGCCGGAATCCCGGCCGGAATTTTTGACCAAATCCGGTAAATCCGGTTCCGGCCGGATTTGAAAATTCCAAATCCGGTGCACCCCTAATCGCCACTCAATACACTGAGACAAAGTAAATCCGGATCTACTTTATGGATCTACTTACCGCCAACCAATCTGGTTACATACCAAAACAGACTGTCTTGCACATATATGATGTACCCACTTCTCCAATTTGCAGATCTTAAATGATCACACTAAGTACATTTCTGTAAATGTTTGGCTGGCTGGGTGAAAGGTGAAACAATAAAATATTGTGAAAGGAAAAACAAAATGTGCTTCCCCAACCAGCGCTAAGCAGTATAAGAAAGCATTGTTATAATTTATTTCTAGATACTTGATGATGGTGGAGATTCGACACATCTCATGTACAAGAAATTTCCTGGTAGATTTAGCGTTCTTAAAGGCATTGTAGAAGAGAGTGTAACTGGCGTTCATAGGTGAGACGAAATATAAAATACAAACACCAAAGAAAGCATCTTGTACTCTTATTTAACCCATTGAGTGGCAGCACTCTCACTTGATCAGTAAAATCATCTGGCATTAGACAGAGTAAAAAAAGTTTCTGTGACCACAGTATGAATTTTGCATGGGTAAATTTGGACCACTTGGTGTTTAACACTGAGTCAGTTTCCTCAAATTTAATACAGTTCTTAGATATCCTTCAAAACTTAGAATTTTCCTATGCAAAATTCCTACTGTGATCACAGAAACTTTGATAGTGTAAACCATCCTTTATAACACTCAGTAAGTTTCCTCAAACATTTCTTACAAATCATTCAAAACTTAGAATTTACCTATGCAAAATTCCTACTGTGATCACAGAAACTTTGATAGTGTAAACCATTCTTTATAACACTCAGTAAGTTTCCTCAAACATTTCTTACAAATCCTTCAAAACTTAGAATTTTCCTATGCAAAATTCCTACTGTGATCACAGAAACTTTGATAGTGTAAACCATCCTTTATAACACTCAGTAAGTTTCCTCAAACATTTCTTACGAATCCTTCAAAACTTAGAATTTACCTTTGCAAAATTCCTACTGTGATCACAGAAACTTTGATAGTGTAAACCATCCTTTATAACACTTAGTCAGTTCCCTTAAACATTTCTTACAAATCCTTCAAAACTTAGAATTTACTTTTGCAAAATTCCTACTGTGATCACAGAAACTTTGATAGTGTAAACCATCCTTTATAACACTCAGTAAGTTTCCTCAAACATTTCTTACAAATCCTTCAAAACTTAGAATTTACCTATGCAAAATTCCTACTGTGATCACAGAAACTTTGATAGTGTAAACCATCCTTTATAACACTCAGTAAGTTCCTTCAAACATTTCTTAGAAATCCTTCAAACTAGAATTTACCTATCCAAAATTCCTACTGTGATCACAGAAACTTTGATAGTGTAAACCATCCTTTATAACACTCAGTAAGTTTCCTCAAACATTTCTTACAAATCCTTCAAACTAGAATTTACCTATCCAAAATTCCTACTGTGATCACAGAAACTTTGATAGTGTAAACCATCCTTTATAACACTCAGTAAGTTTCCTCAAACATTTCTTACAAATCCTTCAAAACTTAAAATTTACCAATGCAAAATTCCTACTGTGATCACAGAAACTTTGATAGTGTAAACCATCCTTTATACCACTCAGTAAGTTTCCTCAAACATTTCTTACAAATCCTTCAAAACTTAGAATTTACCTTTGCAAAATTCCTACTGTGATCACAGAAACTTTGATAGTGTAAACCATCCTTTATAACACTCAGTAAGTTTCCTCAAACATTTGTTATAAATCCTTCAAAACTTAGAATTTACCTTTGCAAAATTCCTACTGTGATCACAGAAACTTTGATAGTGTAAACCATCCTTTATAACACTCAGTAAGTTTCCTCAAACATTTCTTACAAATCCTTTAAAACTTAGAATTTACCAATGCAAAATTCCTACTGTGATCACAGAAACTTTGATAGTGTAAACCATCCTTTATAACACTCAGTAAGTTTCCTCAAACATTTCTTACAAATCCTTCAAAACTTAGAATTTACCTTTGCAAAATTCGTACTGTGATCACAGAAACTTTGATAGTGTAAACCATCCTTTAAACACTCAGTAAGTTCCCTCAAACATTTCTTACAAATCCTTCAAAACTTAGAATTTACCTATGCAAAATTCCTACTGTGATCACAGAAATTTCGATTGTGTAAACTAGGCTTAACTTTTGTGCGAAAGCTTAGTTAAGTATACAATCATGTAAATATTTGATCCTTGAATTTTCAGAGCAAGTGGATGAGCTTACACGAAGTAGAAGTCTGTCTGAGCTGGAGAAGACCACTGAACATCGTGTTGCTGAGTCAGCAAAAAGTACAGCGAAACACATGCAGAAGCAGGCAGCTCTCAGTGCAGAAAAAGCATCAAAGAACAAAGGTACAATTTTTTTGTTCAGGTTTCCTCCTGTAGTAACACTGGATCAATAAGAGACGATCCTTACTGGACCTCTAGGGAGAACAGTTTAGAACTGATACAGAACTATCCAGTATAAATAAAGTTAGTTTAGTTTAGTAGGTTTTTTCCTCTAGTAACACTGGATCAATAAGAGACGATCCGTACTGGACCTCTAGGGAGAACAGTTTAGAACTGATAGGGCTATCCAGTATAAATAAAATTAGTTTAGTTTAGATTTCCTCCTGTAGTAACACTGGATCAATAAGAGATGAACATACTGGATCTCTAGCAGAGTTGTAGACTCGAGTCGTGTGACTTGGACTCGAGTCGCAATTTTTGTGACTTGTGACTTGACTTGTTAAAGAAACTGATGACTTGTGACTTGACTTGGACTTGGACAAAATGACTTGTGACTTGACTTGGACTTGCAAGAAATGACTTGTTACCAACGCAAGTCAAACATATCTAGTGAAATCTCTAGTGAAAATCAAGTTTTCCAAAATTTTTGTGTTGATCGATTGATCGTCGTGTGTTGATCGATCGATCATCGACAGAATTTGTGCCGGCGTATTTTCTGACAAAACGGGGTTTTTTCGCGATTTTGTGGTAAAATTTCTGACATAAAATAACGACGCCATATTTACATATTTTGTAGTGATGGACGATACCAGGATTTTTAATTCGATACCGATACTTTTAAGGTCGGTATCGGCGGATACCGATACCTATTTCGGTACCAAAATGAACACAAAATTTCAATTTTCGATACCGGAAGTGAGTACTTAAATTGCTAGTATCGGCTACTTTCGATACCTGCCGGTCAGCGGAAAAACATTTTTCATTACTGTATGTAACCTAAATAAAGCTATATGTAAACCAAAAGCCCGAAACGTAATAAATATTTTCTATACATGACTTAGCGCACCACATTTGGAATATTAAGAGTTATTTTAGTGGTTCATTAATTCTTATTCAACCAAGAAGTGAAATTAAACAGGTCGTTTAAAAAAGGGTGCAAGTATCGAACGATACTACGTCAGTAATCGATACCGCTGTTTGTGGTATCGCTGGTATCGAATACCGAGTACTCGGTATCGCCCATCACTAATATTTTGCCGTTTTGCGTGGGAAAACATTACCACATGTGGCGATAAAACGACTTGTGACTTGACTTGAATTGACTTGCCACTCGGAATGACTTGTGACTTGACTTGACTTGGATTTAGACAAAATGACTTGTGACTTGACTTGAACTCAGACCAAATGACTTGTGACTTGACTTGGACTTGCAGGAAATGACTTGTGACTTGACTTAGACTTGCAACATAGGACTCGTTAACAACTCTGATCTCTAGGGAGAACAGTTTAGACTGATAGAACTATCCAGTATAAATAAAGTTAGTTTTGTTTATCGTTTCTATTTATAGTTCAACTAAGGACATTGCAAGAAGAAAACAAGTTTCTGCTTCAAAAAGTACAGACGTTGGAGAGCGAACTAAAATGGTAATGCTTTGGTAGTTCTTTGATCATCAAGTACTGCATAAATATGCTATTTTTTAAACTATAATTGATTGTCGTCAGGTCGAAGAAAGAAAAGAAACGCTTAACGTCTGAGAGAGAGAAACGCGACTCTGGTCAACTCAATCATAAAAACAGTTCAACCAACGCTATTTCTAGACAGGTAAGGAATAATAAAGTTACAGAAAATCGGTAAAAGAGATTTACGTATAATTTTAAAAGTTTTTCCAAATGAAATAATAAAAAAATATATTGCCGTATTCCTTTAATGTTCATACTTTTCATTGTACCATTGAGAAATGTAGTTTAATTGTCTTGTTCCTGTAAGTGGCAAGATTTCTGTAGTTGGTCGCCATCTGGACACATTAAATAATCACAAGAGACTATTCTTACTATTTTTAATGAAGACATTCTCATATCTGCAGGTATCACAAGACAGTATGCAAAACAACGTAGAAGATCTTACTCAAAATAAAGAGAGTGCAAAGAGGATTGATGTTCTCAATGAACAGAACTCAACACTGGTAAGGAATCGTCAGGCTTTTAGATTTTCTGTGGTAACACTGGATCAATCAGAGATGATCCTTACTGGACCTCTGGGGAGAACAGTTTAGAACTGATAGAGATATCCAGTATAAATAAAGTTAGTTTAGTTTAGGTTTCCTCCTGTAGTAACACTGGATCAATAAGAGATGACCCTTACTGGACCTCTAGGGAGAACAGTTTAGAACTGCTAGAGCTATCCAGTATAAATAAAGTTAGTTTAGTTTAGGTTTCCTCCTGTAGTAACACTGGATCAATAAGAGATGACCCTTACTGGACCTCTGGGGAGAACAGTTTAGAACTGATAGAGCTATCCAGTATAAATAAAGTTAGTTTAGTTTAGGTTTTCTAAAATATAAAACAACGGTAACTCCGAAAAAAAAAATATTTAATATTCAAAAAAAGAAAGAAAAATAAATATTAAAATATTTAATTTCGGAGTTACCGTTGTTTTATACAGTATTTTATTAAAATACTCAGTGGTTCCCGTAATTTTTAGGTTTTCTCCTGTAGTAACATTGGATCAACAAGAGATGATCTTATTGGATCTCTAGGAAGAACAGTTTAGAATTGATAGAGCTATCCAGTAAAAATGAAGTTAGTTTAGTTTAGATTTCCTCCTGTAGTAACACTGGATCAATAAGAGGTGATCCTTACTGGATCTCTAGGAAGAACAATTTAGAACTGATAGAGCTACCCCGTATAAAAAAAGATACTTAAGTTTATGTTATCTTCTGTGGTAACACTGGATAAATAAGAGATGACTCTTAATGGACCTCTAGGCAGAACAGTATAGAACTGATAGAGCTATCCAGTATAAATAAAGTTAGTTTACTTTCTGGATCTCTAGGAAGAACAGTTTAGAACTAATGGAGCTATCCAGCGTAAATAAAGGATTCCATTTAGGTTTTCTTCTGTAGTAACACTGGACCTCTATAGGGAGGAAGGTTTAGAACTAGGGCTATGCAGTAAGTGCTTTCATCTCTTATTTTTTTCAGAAATATTTCCTGCTCCCGGTATTTTTTATTCTCCTGGCAATGCTTGTATCCTTTGCTTTTGGAATTATTGGTTCTAACACTCCAGTCAGCAATCAAGCTAGCAAGACCCAGTGACCCTGGCCACTTGTACTTGTCAGTACCGTTAATACAGCATGTTAAATAAGCAGTCGGGTTGCGCAACGATGTATCACGTGTATCTTAACATTTTCCTTTGTGTATCATTCTTCTGTCCGTCATTCTCCTGTCTATCATTCGTCGGTCTATCATTCTTCAGTCTATCATTCTTTTGTCTATCATTCTTCAGTCCATCACTCTGTGTGCAATCGTTTGGGGAAATGTTAAGATACACGATGTACGGGTTTATTTGAAACATATATTTATACATATGGCCTTGGATTGCTTATAACTATCAAAAGTCAGTAAAACTGGCCGTTACCATTAAACATTACACAGCAATGAATCGCAACTTTGCTATCCACTGTAAATAAAGTTGATATTGTAAGGTTATAAAACTTAAACTCGGGCTATTTAGGATTGTTGCATAATTGTTCAAACTTCTAAGTTTGCAAAAGTTATTTAATTGTAATGATATATGAACGTTGATATTATTTTTGAAATTGTACATTAGTAGTGAATTTAAAGAATGGCGCTCAACTCCAAAATCTGTTAGTTTGTTTTGAAGATTGTGGTAGAGCGCCTCGTTAGTTTTGTTTTTATAATGTGTTAATATAGGGATGTTTCAAATATACATGGTATTTGCTACATGTAATTAAATAATGATTAATAATCTTGTTCAGGAGCTCTTACTCACTTATGAGTGATCTGATATGCAGAACTTACTGCTGAGTTAAGCTTGCTAGAGCAAGCAGAGGGTATACAGTACATGTTCTTGAATGTGACTACACAAGTGAAATTCTCACAACTTGTCAACAAGATGTGTTCGCAACAGACTTGTAGCAAGCTTGTGAACAAGTTGTAACAATGCTGTTATTTTATCAAGTTGCTACAAGGTTGTCACTCACAACTTATTGACAAATTGTTGAATTGTAGGACGATAACAAGTTGTTGGAACAACTTGTAACAAGTCTGTTGAGCTCAACAACCTTGTAGCAAGTTGTCAACAAGCTGGGAACAAGCAGTGCGAACACATCCTGATGACAAGTTGTTGGAACAACTTGTAACAAGTCTGTTGAGCTCAACAACCTTGTAGCAAGTTGTCAACAAGCTGGGAACAAGTAGTGCGAACACATCCTGTTGACAAGTTGTTGGAATAGCATTGCTACAAGTCTTTGCGTTTTTACGTGTGTACCTTAAAGTAATCGGACGTTGTACAGAATTAACTGTTGAGTTAAGTTATGGTTAGATTATGCAGAGGGCAGTACATGTTCTTGAATGTGGACTACTTTAAATTGATTTGATGTTGTACAGTACTCACTGCTGAGTTAAGCATGGTTAGATCATGCAGAGGTACACACGTAAAAACGCACAAGTTGTAACAAACCTACAGCAGACTTGCAGCAATATTGTTCCAACAACTTGTCAACAGGATGTGTTCGAACTGCTTGTTCCCAGCTTGTTGACAAGTTGTCAACGGCTTGTTGACAACTTGCTACAAGGTTGTTGAGCTCAACAGACTTGTTACAAGTTGTTCCAACAACTTGTTATCGTCCTGCAATTCAGCAATTTGTCAACAAGTTGTGAGTGACAACCTTGTAGCAACTTGATAAAAAAACAACATCGTTACAACTTGTTGACAAGCTTGCTACAAGCCTATTGCGAACACATCTTGTTGACAAATTGTGAGATTTTGACGTGTGTCGTATCAAACGACAGACTCGGGCAGATATCTTAGAGCTCTTCTTGATCTCTGTAGCTGGTTCTGATAATAATGCTGACTTGACATAACCGGTTTGAAACTCTCTTGATCTCGACTCAATTCAAAATGATTCACCAACGATGTATGACCCACACACTCACACTGAGTTTTATGTTTATCCACGGTGACTTGCATGAATAGGTCACGTGCCACGTTCGAATGTGTCACGTGATTGCCAGGTGATATAGGTTTTTCTTCCATAATCACGTCCTCCATGTCCCGCGTGTAAAACGCGTGGGATTTCGTGCAAGGCATTTTCTTTTTTCTTACTCGGTACATCGCGGTCGTGGAGCCTGTGGACGAGGGACTCTCTAGGCTATCCGTAGAGCATGATGGGATATCAGTCTTGTGAGGTTTATGATTGACTGTGCAATGGTGTCGTTGCAGTTTGATTGATTTGTTCAGTTTTCTAAAAACGAATTCATGTTGTATCAACTATATATTTAGTTCAATGAATTGTAACACTTGCTGTTTGCATAAGGTTTCTGTCATTGGGTTATATTGAAGACTTTTACTATATTTGTTGTTGTTGTTGTTGAATTGTTGCAGTTGTAGCCGTTGTTGATATTGATATTGATGTTGTTGATATTGATGATGCTGTTGTTGTTGATATTGATGTTGTTGCAGTTGTAGTCGTTATTGTTGTTGTTGCTGTTGTTGATATTGATGTTGTTGATGTTTTTGCAGTTGTTCATATTGATGTTGTTGTTGTTGCAGTTGTAGTCGTTATTGTTGTTGCTGTTGTTGATATTGATGTTGTTGATGTTTTTGCAGTTGTTGTAGTTGTTGATATTGATGTTGTTGATATTGATCAGTAATGTTGTAGTTGTAGTCGTTATTGATGTTGTTGATATTGATGTTATTCATATTGATATTGTTGTTGCAGTTGTAGTCATTGTTGTTGTTGATATTGATGTCGTTGATGTTTTTGCAGTTGTTGTTGTTGATATTGATGTTGTTGATATTCATCAATGTTGTTGTTGCTGCAGTTGTAGTCGTTGTTGCTGATATTGATGTCGTTGCTGTTGTAGTTGTTGCAGTTGTGGTCGTTATTGTTGTTGTTCTTGATGTTGTTATTGTTCATATTGTTGTTGCTGTTATTGTTGACATTGATGTTGTTGATTTTGCTGTTGTTGCTGAGACGTTGCTGTTGTTATTGGTGCTGTTGTTTTTTGTTGTTGCTGAGATATTGTTGATGTTGTTGTTTTGTTGTTGTTGTTGTAATTGTTGGCTTTGCTATTATTGTTGTTCTTGTAGTAGTTGTATCTGATGTAGTTGTGTTCCTTGTTGTTATTGACATTGTATTTGTTTTTTTATGAGAAGACGTTTATCCACAACAACAAGATAATGTTTAATCAAATAGCATTTAAAGTGACAGCTACCGTCTTTTCAGCTCGTCGTACTGGACAAAGAGAAATGCCAGAATGAAAAGAAAGATGAATATTGCTGACAGCGATGTTTGGTAGATCGCTTCTGTACGAGAAATCTGAAACAAGTATATATAGGCGCAAAATGGTTACTTGGTAACATTGTTAGTTAACTAAACACTTTCTTTCTTATAACCTAGTAAAAGTCTGGATGTTTGAATGATTAGTGAAAGGTATCTACACATGGAAAATCTCACATCTTGTAGCAAGTCTGCCAACAAGTTGTGTTCGCACTGCTTGTCCCAAGTTGTCGACAAGTTTAGAACAACTTGTGAGAACCTAATTGTTGATATTATCAGACTTGTTGCAAGGTTGTTCCGACAAGTCCGATACAGGCATGATATAACAATATTGTACAAGTCGTTTAAAAAGCTTGTAAGAAGCTTGTTGATATTATCAGACTTGTTGCAAGGTTGTTCCGACAAGTCCGATACAGGCATGATATAACAATATTGTTACAATATTCTGTCGTCAACCTTGTAACATTCTTGGTATATCATGGTTGTGTCAGTAATGCCATCAAGCTTGCTACAAGTTGTTAACAGCTTGTGACAACTCGTGCGTTTTTACGCGTGTGCTAACAAACCGATGAATTTTGTGGCAACGATAGATGATCCTCTATACCTTGTATTCTCTGAAAACGTCTTCTGGAGTCGCTGGATCATAAAAACATGAATATTTTGTATCTATCTATAAATGACAAAAATGATTATTAACAAACTTGTAAAGAATTTGTAAGATATCTTTGAGAGTACTGGCTCACTGTTGGTTAAATTCTGTAGTATACAGTACAATGTCATATATCCGGACAAGATCTTCTGGTGTAGTTCACTGTTTAACACTGAATCAGTTACCACGAACTCTTCAAAACTTAAAATTTACATGTGCAAAATGTATACTGTGATCACAGAAACTTTGAAGTGTAAAACAGCCTTAGAAGGTGTGTTTATGTATGGCTGGAGTTCCATACTGTATTTTTTCTCGACTTACTGTTCCATATTTTTCGTGATTTGCTTCCAAACAAACGCGTGGATTTGAGCATTTGTTCTTGGTGAATAAACTGCCTTTCCCAAACGTGTAGGAACACTGTAGTTTAAGATGAAATACATTATACATATAGGAATCCTTGAAACCATATTAAAGAAATGTTTTTTATCCAAGCATTAATTACCTTTTCGCAATGGTGGAGGGTCTGCTCATTTTCCATCAAAACAGAAATCATGATTTCGTTCGTTGTGTTGTATTTAACCTGTAAAACATTTTGAAACTTACGAGTCGAAAGCTTGTGAGATAAATATTTTAAAGCAGAGGTCCAGAGAGCGTCCAAAAAACCCAATATGAATAATCTTGTCAATACTCCAGTCTAGTCAAAAACCGATAAAAACCTCGTATCTATAATATTCTACTCGCGCTAAGATGCCCGGCAATCAAATACCGATGAAATTGTCAGACTTGTTACAATGTTGTTCTAACAAGTCTGATACAGTCATGATATAACAAGAATGTTACAAGGTTGTTGACACAAGGTTGTAACAATATTTCTACTGATCGTGACTGTATCAAACTTGTTAGAACAACCTTGTAACAAGTCTGATAAATGCCATTAAGCTTGTTACAAGTTGTTAACAGCTTGTTCCAAACTTGTTACAACAACTGGGAACAAGCAGTGCGAACACAACTTGTTGACAGCTTGTGAACAGATTTGTAACAACTTGTTTGCAGACCTGTAACAACTTGTGCGTTTTTACGTGTGTATACAAGATGTGAGATTTTTACGCGTATATATAGTCAAAAACCGATGAAATCGTCGCTTGAATGTACGGTGACCACTTACTATAATTTTATAACAAGGAGTAAATCGTTCCGTTTTCAAACTGCAGCTTCCTTTCTTCGACATTTCAACTTTCTGAACTGTACATTCTGTCTTCTTAAAGTTCAAACCTACAATAAGAGTAAAACCATGAATAATCTTATACACGCGTAAAAACGCACAGCTTGTAACAACTACAAGTCTGCAAACAAGTTGTTATAAGTCTGTTCACAAATTGTCAACAAGTTGTGTTCGCACTGCTTGTTCCCAGTTAATTTGTTGTAACAAGCTGTTAACAACTTGTGACAAGATTGATGGCATTATCAGCCTTGTTACAAGACTGTGCTAACAAGTTTGTTACAGCCATGATATAACAAGGATGTTACAAGGCTGTCAACACAAGGTTGTAACAATCTTGTTATATCAAGCATGTAACTGACTTGTCAGAACAACCTTGCAACAAGTCTGATAATTTCAACAAGGTTGTTACAAGTTGTCAACAAGTTGTTTCAAACCTGTTGACAACTTGTGACACACAGTGCGAATACAACTTGTTGACGGCTTGTTGGCAGACTTGAGATTTTTACAAGATGTGAGATTTTTACGTGTGTACATGACTGTCACACGTAAAAATCTCACATCTTGTAGCAAGTCTGCCAACAAGCCGTCGACAAGTTGTGTTCGCACTGCTTGTCACAAGTTGTCAACAAGTATGGAACAACTTGTTAACAACTTGTAACAACCTTGTTGATATTATCAGACTTGTTACAAGGTTGTTCCAACAAGTCCGACTGTCCGATATACGCACGAAAAAACCTACCAATTAACTTGTCAACAAGATGTGTTCGCACAACAGGCTTGTAGCAAGCTTGTCAACAAGTTGTAATAATGCCGTTATTTAATTTATCAAGTTGCTACAAGGTTGTCACTCACAACTTGTTGACAAATTGTTGAATTGCAGGACGATAACAAGTTGTTGGAACAACTTGTAACAAGTCTGTTGAGCTCAACAACCTTGTAGCAAGTTGTCAACAAGCCGTTGACAACTTGTCAACAAGCTGGGAACAAGCAGTACGAACAAATCCTGATGACAAGTTGTTGACTATATATACAGTCACGATATAACAATATTGTTACAACCTTGTGTCGTCAACCTTGTATAACATTCTTGTTGTATCATGACTGTATATCGGACTTGTTAGAACAACCTTGTAGCAAGTCTGATGTTGCCATCGAACTTGTTACAAGTTTGTTTCAACAACTGGGAACAATCAGTGCGAACACAACTTGTCGAAAGACACAAGCATTAATAAACACTGTATCACACATCCATTAATGTAACAACTTATTCCGTATCTCGAACAAGCTTTCGTTGGTAGGGATATTACTGCCTGAAAATATCATAAGGAGAATTTCGACGTTTTTAAGGGACCGTTCATTGTTAATTTATACCCGGGATTAGTACCGAAGAGATATGGGTTGGGTAATCAAGGTTCTGACTAGCTCATCGGTTGGGTAAAAAAGTTATGGCCGTCTGTCAGCTATAAAATAATGAAGAACTCTAGGACTCTATCATTGATCAGCAGAAACGTGATTGCTTTGGCACACTCAGTGAGTTTGAGTGTGAGTGAGTTTTTAGAATTTAGGCAACTTGATTTCTGTCACCATAATCTTACCCAGCGGGCAAAATGACATTTATCCAACGTTGAATCAACGTTAGAAATGACCTTCCAAACGTTGGATAGACGTTGAAAAAGGGTTGACTATGCAAATTGGATCGACGTTACTGTTTCGACGTTGAAACAACGTTGGAATTAGGTTGCCAATCTCGTCAACCATAATTCAACGTTGAATCCACGTTAAAACAACGTTGAGATTGGTTCACAAATCGACGTCGTACATTTAACCATGAATGAACGTTAATTCAACGTCTGTAGGCTGCTGTTGGACCAATGTTTGTAAATGACAACGTCAGAGCTACGTAGATATTAGTTGTCGACGTCGCAACCTTTTTTCTACCAAATTTCAAAGTTGAAACAACGTCGTGTACCTGGTGGGTATGTGTTTAATCATTATGAAGTACAGTAACACATGGGTTGAGTAAACATCATTTTGACCAATGTTGAGGTTGGGTTAATAAAAAAATTACATTGTTTTCGCTTCTCTTCGTACCAACCCCGGGTATAAACAATGAACGGTCCCCAGTAATGGACCATTTGCATTATAGACTAAATTTTGATCTAAACGAAAATTTTATCACGGCTTGAAAGAGCATCACAAAAAGCTACAAAATTAGTAATACTCCAAAGTTTCGTTGCGAAATGTTGTAAAATGCGGATAATATAGCCTTTGCGAAATTTGCAATTTTCAGTCATTTTGTATTACAAACTGTCAATTTCCCGTTTGTAATACAAAATGACTGAAGAACGGCAAACTTCGCAAGGCTATATATTAACCGCATTTTACAACATTTCGCAACGAAACTTTGGAATATTACTAATTGTGTGATTCTCTTTCGAGCTGTGATGAAATTTTTGTCTAGATCAAAATTTCGTCTATAATGCAAATGGTCCATTTGAGCGAGAAGGCCTTCGTCTGGAGTTACTGACGAGAGCCTCGCTCGACGTCGAAATTCTCCTTATATTTTTCAGATAGATGCATCCCAACCAACGAAAGCTTCATATTATTGACACAACCTACACTGGTACAGACAGTTCGGGATTCATTCCGGCCATACCTCGCATATAAGGATTGGTAACATACGCAACAGTAAACACCAACATGACAGCAATTCCAAGAAAACACGGCAGACAAAAACAAAGCGGACACTTTAGTCTATCGGCTACATCTTCTCGTAAAATCCCATTCTTGCCCAGACGAGAACGGCGAATTTTTGCGGCATCCTGTTTGCTGATATTTGAACGATTTGTAGTTAAGTACGTTTTGAGACCTAGAAACCTCGGCATTTTCGAGTTGTTTTCGTTTGTGTGACGTATTTAAACTTCAAAATTGAACTCAGTTCGTACACAGAGCTGTATAGCTACCATAAAATGCCACCTATGATTGTTTAGTTCACTATTTACCACTGTTGATGTTATGGATTTGTGTTCCAACGGATATTAGCTTGAATTTTTCGGTATATAAACTTTGCTTAATGCAAATGTAAATAAAACGAGCAAACAGCGACAAATTTAAATTCTGATATACATATGACAACATATATCATCTTTTCTATAGAGAGAAAACTGAATTAAAGCGTTGTGTATGTTAATATATATTTAGTATTAAAATTATAATTATTAAATGTAGCATGAACCCAGCGGGCAAAATAACGTTTATGAACGTTGAATGAACGTTGGAACTTGGAAATGACCTTCCAGACGTTGGATAGACGTTGAAAAAGGGTTGACTATGCAAATTGGATCGACGTTACTGTTTCGACGTTGAAACAACGTTGAAATTAGGTTGCCAATCTCGTCAACCATAATTCAACGTTGAATCCACGTTAAAACAACGTTGAGATTGGTTCACAAATCGACGTCGTACATCACCATGAATGAACGTTAATTCGACGTATGTTGGCTGCTGTTGAACCAATGTTTGTAAAACAACGTCAGAGCAACGTAGATATTAGGTTGTCGACGTCGCAACCTTTTTTCTACCAAATTTCAACGTTGAAACAACGTCGTGTGCCCGGTGGGAAATAAGGTTTTAACTTTTTAGTACATAAATTAAGATGTTTCATGGCTATAAGTTTTGCCCGGTCTAAAATAAATGAAGTTTGGCAAGTCGGAAAATTGTTTACACACAGTACCAGTAGCCCAAAGGGATGCTCAGAATAATGATATACCCATCCATTTATCAAAATTTCTACTAAGATTATCAGATTATGGCCTATGCGTAAATCGCACTATACACACTTGAGATGCTTGGTTTGCAAGCGGTACAAGAAAGTAACGGCGTTTGTGTTGACACGAAGCCACCAAGCGCTCCGTTTTCATCTCGCTCCGTTTAGAAACCATGCTCAAATTGTTACGGCGAAAGTGACGTTTTCAAACAATTCCGCTCCGGCGTACGTCGTGTGAACGCGACGGTATAAATTGTGACTTTTCTGCGCCGTTTTCAAACCATTGCGTGTGTCTTATCAACGTATATACTGCAGTGTAGTCTTAAAGTTGTAGTCTTTTCAAGTTGTGTTCCCACTACACACGTAAAAATCTCGCAACTTGTCAACAACAAACTTGACGACACAAAGTTGTAACAATATACCGGTAGTTTTATCATGACTGTATCGAACTTGTTGGAACAACCTTGCAACCTGATAATATCAACAAGCTTGTTACAAGCTGTTGACAACTTGTAACAAGCTTGATAGCATTATCAGACTTGCTACAAGGTTGCTCTAACAAGTCTTATACATGCAGCCGTGATATAACAAGAATGGTACACACGTACAAATCTCACAACTTGTCAACAAGATGTGTTCGCAACAGGCCGCTTGTAGCAAGCTTGTCAACAAGTTGTAGCAATGCTGTTATTTTATCAAGTTGCTACAAGGTTGTCACTCACAACTTGTTGACAAGTTGTTGAATTGCAGGACGATAACAAGTTGTTGGAACAACTTGTAACAAGTCTGTTGAGTTCAACAACCTTGTAGAAAGTTTTCAACAAGGCGTTGACAACTTGTCAACAAGCTGAGAACAAGCAGTGCGAACACATCCTGTTGACAAGTTGTTGGAACAACATTGCGACAAATCTGCTGCAGGTTTGTTCCAACTTGTGCGTTTTTACGTGTGTACAAGGTTGACGACACACGGTTGTAACAATATTGTTATATCATGACTGTATTGGACTTGTTGGAACAACCTTGCAACAAGTCTGATAATATCAAAAAGGTTGTTACGACTGTTAAAAAGTTGTTCCAAACTTGTTGACAACTTGAGACAAGCAGTGCGAACACAACTTGTTGACGGCTTGTTGGCAGACTTGCTACAAGATGTGAGATTTTTACATCAGTGTCAGATACTCAAGCAGCTCAGCACTAAGCTCGCAACATCCGCAGACATATTGAGATTTTTTTCTTGCGTGATGAAAAATGTCAATTTATATTAGTTCCCCAAGGCCTCGCGGGGTTAAATCCTCACGGAAACTGTCCCGTACACAAGAGAAACATGCTGCGCTGAGCTTGTCCCCACGCGAGGCCGTTATACACACGTAAAAATCTCACATCTTGTAACAAGTTTGTCAACAAGCCGTCGACAAGTTGTGTTCGCATTGCTTGTCACAAGTTGTCAACAAGTATGGAACAAGCTGTTAACAATTTGTAACAAACTTGTTGATATTATCAGACTTGTTACAAAGTTGTTCCAACAAGTCCGATACAGTCATGATATAGCAGTATTGTTACAACCTTGTCTCGTCAACCTTGTAACATTCTTGTTTATCATGACTGTATATCAGACTTGTTAGAACAACCTTGTAACAAGTCTGATAATGCCATCAAGCTTGTTACAAGTTGTTAACAGCTTGTTCCAAACTTGTTAAAACAACTGGGAAAAAGCAATGCGAACACAACTTGTCGACAGCTTGTGAACAGATTTGTAACAACTTGTTTGCAGACTTGTAACAACTTGTGCGTTTTTACGCGTGTAACTCAACACCTCAATATGATGCACGTTTTTCTCGTACGCGGCATGCTTTACAATATGCTGTAGAATAAAGGAATACAAAATTCTAAAAGTTTTGCATGATGTTGATCGCAAGAAATTACGGTAAAAATTATGCGACTTATAGGGACTGATTACATTGAGAGTTTCTCGAGTTTCAGCCGGGTTGAAGCTTACCCGGGCTGAAAATTTCATCCCTGTTGACCGCGAGATGAAATCGACGTGAAATCGATGCGTCATGTTATCGGGGTGAAAAACCAGCGCTTTTAAATGGCTTTATTTCTGTCTGTTTTATTTTTAAATGCCACCATGCACACGCTGGTAGAAGTCAAATAATGGACATGAACATCATTTTAAATTCTTCGAAGAAGCGAAATAGCTCTATTTTGAGACTTGATCGTTTCAGCCCGGGCTGAGATTTCACCCCGCGGTTTGAACTGAAATTCTTACTCATCCTGGGCTGAAATTTGCCATATTGTAGCAAGTCTGCCAACAAGTTGTCAACAAGTTGTCTTAGAACTGCTTGTCCCAAGTTGTCAACAAGTTGTAACAATGTTGTCGTTTTCTCAAATTGCTACAAGGTTGTCATTCACTTGTTGGAACAACTTGTAACAAGTCTGTTGAGTCGTAGTAAGTTGTCAACAAGCCTCTAACAACAGCATTGCTACAAGTCTGCTACAGGTTTGTTACGAGTTGGGCGTTAACACGTAAAAATCTCACATCTTGTACAAGTCTGTCAACAAGCCGTCAACAAGTTGTGTTCGCACTGCTTGTCCCAAGTTGTCAACAAGTTTGGAACAAGCTGTTAACAATTTGTAACAATCTTGTTGAATTATCAGACTTGTTGCTAGGTTGTTCCAACAAGCCCGATACAGTCAAGATATAACATTATATAATATCTACAGTGAAACGCGCAATTTGATTGGTCAATAGCTGAATTAGCTGTGCAGGATCAGGCTATCCTGCACGAGGAATTAAAATGCCTTCGCGGGATTTTCACTGTAGTTATTTCATAAAACAATTACCAAATGGTTTTCCAAGCAGGGACTGTATAGTTATTTTATAAAATAATTACCAAATGGTTTTCCAAGCAGGATAGCGTGATCCATGCAATTGGGATGTTGCTCGACTTTCGGAAAGAGTACTAAAATACACTCGCCTGCGGCTCGAGTATTTTTACGCTTTCCAAAAGTCTCGTGACATCCCTCGTGCATGGATCACGCAATCCTGCACGGAAAACCATTCGGTATTCCCAGGGTATTCCTTTAATATTGTTACAACCTTGTGTATAGTTGTGTCCTCATTCGTCAACCTTGTAACATTCTTGTTATATCATGACTGTATCAGACTTGTTAGAACAACTTTGCTACAAGTCTGATAATGCCATCAAGCTTGTTACAAGTTGTTAACACACAACTTGTCGACAGCTTGTGAACTGGCAGAATTGTAACAACTTGTTTGCAGACCTGTAACAACTTGTGCGTTTTTACGTGTGTAATCGTGAAACAATTTTAGCGCGGACTCCCCATGTAATCAGCCCCTAAATATGTTTTTGTTTGTCATCGGAACTCGTTGTCTCAGAAATGCAAGAAATGCTGTTGATAAGAGATCCTTGGAATTATACATATATCCCCTGGGGTGCATGGACACTTGTCCGCCTTAAATGGTTCTCGCGTCGAGTGAGGAATTTCTAGGCAATGCCACTGTTGTAACAGGGCAAGTATTTCAGTTTGACATGTAAATAAACTGAATCTAAAACGTGCACTACAATTTCAACATGAACAATAAGCTTTCGTTGGTAGAGTTGTAACTACCTGAAAAATATAAGGAGAATTTCGACGTTTCGTGCGAATCCCCATGCAGTATTATAAACTCCTGACGAAGCCGAATTAATATAAGGCCTTCGGCTTCTCTCGAAACGCGTGGAAATTCTCCTTATTACTTATATATTTTTCGGGTAGTTGCATTCCTGCCAACGAAACAGTTCCAAGTTATTTTCAACATCATAGATGTGCTTATATGCGGTACTTTAATTTAACGTTGCATAATACATCTCAATATATGTTAAAATACACGAACGAATATAATTTGTCAAGACGACAGGCTCACTTCGAGTGCACTTGAAATTTGTAAGAAAAAATTGACTGGATGTTATAACGGGCTTGCAAGCGTATATATAAACTTCGTCGCTTTTGTAGCAAACAGCCTGCCAGTGAAACCACACTTATAACAAGTTTATAGTCAACAGAATATATTAGAACGTGAAAACGTTTCGAGTTTGTTCGAGCTTAAGAAATTTATCGTGAAATATACTTCAACATTGTAGCAATAATACAATATATATGAGCAACATTAGAGCATCGAAATATACAATTATTGACCAATAGAGTCTAAATGTTTTAGTCGGAATCGTTTCTCATTGGCTAAATGGGCCCATGGTTTATCGGTTATTTAAATTATTTTACAAGTATAACGGACGCTTTCACGAGCTTTTGCAATGAGCTGGGAAACAAGCTGCTCAACTTGAAAAAATAAGGTATTATTCTATGTTTATATTATAAAGGACTAAAGGTATTGTAAGTGTTTGCTTATAGAGTTTTGCAAAAATATATTAGTCAAAATTGTAGCAATTTCCATGCTGGAATAATATGTATTTCTTGTTGAGTAAATTATCTTAAATGTTTGGTACCTGTTTACGCTTCAGTAATTTGTCTATATAGTATATAGTATATAGTTAAGTGCAATTTGTGTTATGTTGGCTTGGTCGCAATGTTACTACGAAATATTTGGAAAAATTATACAAATTTAGTTCACAATATTTTCGTGTTTAATTTTAAATTTAACACTTATATAGAATAGATTATCTAGTAATGAATTTAAAAATGCCAAGAATTTCTGAGACTCATTGCATGCAACACAAACCCTAATTAGCAAAACGCTCAATGATATGAGCTAGAAAAGTAGTATGTGGCTATAATGTGCTCTGCATTCTTCCACACCTCAAGCTTTAAACAGGATAAAATTAATAGACAGATGCGTTTTAACCACGGATGGAGGTCCAGTATTCCGGACTGGCCATCTCTTATTGATCAGCGTTATATACAGCACTATATACAGTCTGGTGCAAGACGAAACCTATAAGGCTTAAACTAAACTAATTTTATTTATACTGGATACTGCTCTATCAGTTCTAAACTGTTCTTCCTATAGGTCCAGTAAGAATCATCTCTTATTGATCCAGTGTTACTACAAGAGGAAACCTAAACTAAACTAATTTTATTTATACTGGATAGCTCTATCAGTTCTAAACTGCTCTTCCTAGAGGTCCAGTAAGGATGATCTCTTATTGATCCAGTGTTACTACAGGAGGAAACCTAAACTAAACTAATTTTATTTATAGTGGATAGTTCTATCAGTTCTAAACTGTTCAGTCTGTTCATCCTATAGGTCCAGTAAAGATCATCTCTTATTGATCCAGTGTTACTACAGGAGGAAACCTAAACTAAACAAATTTTATTTATACCGGACAGCTCTATCAGTTCTAAACTGTTCTTCCTAGAGATCCAGTAAGGATCATCTCCTATTGATCCAGTGTCACTACCAGAGGATCTTGATTACAATTCGACTGCATGGGCTTTTTATTCATCAGTTATATAAACAACAGTAGCGAGCGAAAACATGATTGATATACCTGGTTGCCGTGAACGAACAAAAACTGAACTGAACTAACTTCATTTACACTGGATACCTCAATCAGTTCTAAACCAGTGTCATCTCTAGAGGTCCAGTATAAGGATAATCTCTTATTGATCCAGTGTTACTACAGGAAAAAGCTAAACTGAACTAACTTTATTTACACTAGATAGCTCTATCAGTTATAAACTGTTCTCCCTAGAGATCCAGTAAGGATGATCTCTTATTGATCCAGTATTACTACAGGAGGAAACCTAAACAAAATTAACTTTATTTATACTGAATAACTCTATCAGTTCTAAACTGTTCTTCCTAGAGGTCCAGTAATTAATGATCATCTCTTATTGATCCAGTATTACTACAAGAGGAAACCTA